CACATCCCTGGACACTACGGGCAATTTAGCATGGCCAATCCACCTAACCTTCATATCTCTGAACTGTGGGAGGAAATCAGAGCACCCACAGGAAATCCACACAGATACAAATGTGCAAACTCTGAACAAACAGTTGCCCAAGGCTAGAATTGAACCCAGGTCCCTGGTGCTGTGAGGCAGCAATGGTAACCACTGAGCTACCATGCCACCCATATGTAAAACCACATTGTAATAACCCCTTAAGGAGATTCTGCAATTTAAATAAAAAGTTATTAGCATCTTTGTCCAACAACATATCCAATTATACAAATACACTGCAGGCATTGACCCTCATGCATGATCTGATCTCCTGTCTTGCTGGTGCAGATGGCCTTGAGATGCTCTCCACCAGCTCAGGATCGGACAAGCGTCCTTTCCTTGTCCCACAGACCCTTTTGCCCAGCTCCAACGCTCTCCCTCCACCTGGACCCCTCCCTCCGACCTTTTATCTGCACTCGATCTGTTCATTGAGAACCGTTGACGTGTCATTGGTCGCCTCAATTTCACTGCCCCCCTCACACAATCCAACCTATCTCCCTCTGAACTGACTGCACTCCGTGCGCTCATTTCCAACCCTGACTTTGTTATTAAGCCTGCCAATAAGGGTGGTGCTGTTGTAGTCTGGCGTACTGACGTCTACCTTTGCAGAGGCTGAGCGCCAGCTCTCAGATACCTCCTCCTACCTTCCCCTTGACCATGATCCTACCGTGGCTCATCAAGCCATTGTGTCAATGACAGTCATGGACCACATTTCATCTGGCAATCACTGCCCCCCCACCGCGCCCCCCACCCCGACCCCCAACTGCCTCCAAGCTAATAGTCCCCCAACCCCGCACAGCTCGTTCTACCTCCTCCCAAAAATCCACACACAGGACTGTCCAGGCAGACCCATTGTTTCAGCCTGATCCTGCCCCACAGAACTCATCTCTTCCTACCTTGAATCGGTTTTCTACCCCCACGCCGGTCTAGTCAGTGCTCACGTACATCTGTGCTCTCTCTGACGCTTTACGCCAGCTTGGGAACTTCCAGTTTGTAGGTTCCAGCTGCCTCCTCTTTACCATGGGCGTGCAATCCCTTTACACTTCCATTCCCCACCAGGATGGTCTCAGGGCTCTCCGCTTCTTCCTGGAGCAAAGACCTGAACCGCCCCCACCCACCACCACCCTCCTCCGCTTGGCTGAGCTCGTCCTCACCCTCAACAACTTCGCTTTTAACTCCTCTTATTTTCTTCAGGTCAGAGGAGTGGCCATGGGTACCTGCATGGGCCCTAGTTATGCCTGCCTCAGGGGTACATGGGAAATTTAACATGGTCAATCTACCTAACCTGCATATCTTTGAACTGTGGGAGGAAATCAGAGCACCCAGAGGAAGTCTGTGGTACGTGGGTGTACGTGGAACATTCCTTATTCCAGTCCTATTCTGGCCACCACCCACAACTCTTTCTCCGGTATACTGATGATATCATCGATGCTGCTTCCTTCTCTCGACCGGAATTAGAAATGTTCATTGATTTTGCTTCCAATTTCCACCCTGCCCTCACTTTCACCTGGTCTATCTCTGACTCCTCCCTTCCTCGACATCTCTGTTTCCATTTCTGGGGATAGACTGGCCACTAATATCCATTACAAACCCACTGACTCCCAGTTACCTGGACCATACATCCTTACACCCCACTTCCTGTAAAGACTCCATCCCATTCTCTCAGTTCCTCCATCTCCGTCGCATATGTTCAGATGAGGGCAACTTTGACAAGGAAGACTCCGAAATGTCCACCTTCTTCCTTAACCGAGGATTCCCCAGCACCTTCGTCGACAGGGTCCTCAACCGGCCCGACCCATCTCCCGCACTTCCGCCCTCACCCCTTCTCTTCTCTCCTGCAACAGCAATAGGGGTCCCCTAGTCCTTACCTACCATCCCACCAGCATCCACATCCAGAAGATCATCTGACGCCATTTCCACCACCTCCAGCGAGATGCCACCACCAGACACATATTCCCCTCCCCTCCCTTGTCCACTTTCTGCAGGGACTTTTCCATCCGGGACACCCTGGTCCACGCTTCCTTCACCGCAAACACTCCCCCACAGCCCCACGGCACCTTCCCCTGCAACTGGTGAAGGTGTAACATCTGCTTATTTACTTCCTCCCTCCCCAGGATCCAAGGGCCCAAACATACCTTCCAGGTGAAGCAGCACTTCACCTGCACTTCCCAGAATCTAATCTAACTGCATTTGCTGCTCACAATGTGGTATCCTCTACCTCGGGGAAACAAAAAGTAGACTGGGTGACTACTTCACAAAGCATCTACATTCTGCTCGCAAAAAAGACCCTGAGCTTCCTGTTGCCTGCCACTTTAACGCACCACCCTATTCCCTGGCCAACATTTCTGTCTCTGACTTGCTGCAGTGTTCCAGCGAAGCTTAACGCAAGCTGGAAGAACAGCACATCATTTTCCGCCTGGGGACCCTGGAGCCTTCCAGACTCAATGTTGAGTTCAATAATTTTAGGGCCTGAACTCTCCCATGTCCCAGCCCCTACCCCACACACCAGGTCTTGTAATCACATAGTCTGCTATTAGGCACTACCTATTGTTAGCCACTTACAATCTCCATTAACAGCCTTTCACCCTCCTAGACAGATCTACTCCTTTGTCTGTCCAACTGCTCTTCTCTCTCTTTGGGCTCCATCCCCACGTATCATTTACTCCTTAGCCCCACCCCCCACCCCATCTTCTGCATATAAACCGACAGTTCTGAGGTAGGGTCACACCAGACCCGAAACGTTAACTCTGGTTTCTCTTCACAGAGGCTGACAGAACTGCTGAGCTTTTCTAGCAACTTCTGTTTTTTTAGCTCAGGATCGGAGTCTGCCATCTGGGATGCCTGCTGAGAAGCAACAATATGGTGCCAATGGTAGGGGCACATATGCTGGCATCCCAAGACAGAACAGTGAGTCTCAACTGCATCTAGCCACTGCCACTCACACTCAAGATCATACTTACCAACTTTGTCAACCTGAGTAGAGCACAGGTTTCCTGACTACAATGACAGCTTCCTTTGGGCCATGAGATCCACAGCCATGATGAAAGTGCACTGAGCTTCAGACAATGGCCTTGTGGTATTATCACTGGACTACTAAATTTTTTTTGATTCTTTCATGGGATGAGGGTGTCGCTGACTGGGCAGCATTTATTGTCCATCCCTAATTGCCCAGAGGGCAGTTAAGAGTCAACCGCATTGCTGTGGGTCTGGAGTCATATGTAGGCCAGACCGCGTAAGGATGGCAGTTTCCTTCCCTGAAGGACATTAGTGAACCAGATGAGTTTTTAATGACAATCGACAATGGATTCATGGTCATCATTAGACTGTTAATTCCAAAAGTATATTTTTTTTTTATTGAATTCAAACTCCATCATCTGCCATGACAGGATTTGAACCTGGATCCCCAGGGTGGTATCTGGGTCTCTGGATTAACAGTCCAGCGATAATACCACTAGGCCCTTGCCTCCCTCAGAATCCCAGGTAACGTGCCGGGGACACAGGTACAAATCCTGCCATGGCAGATGGTGAGATTTGAATTCGGTAAAAAATGAAATCTGGGATTAAGAGTCCCAGTGATGACTGTGAAACTGTTGCTGATTGTCAGGAAAAGCCCATCTGGTTTACTAATGACTTTTAAGGAGGGAAATCTGTCATCCTTACCCAGTCTGGCTCACATGTGACTTCAGGCCAACAGTCATGTGGTTGACTCTTAACAATGGGCAATAAATTCTGGCCTGGTCAGTGATGTCCACATCCTGTGTATGAGTTAAAATAAACACACTTTGATGGCAGCTTTCACAGCAGCGCTCAGACAAATGGATGAGTCCAATTTGTGCTGCAGTGGGAGGTGAAATGGTGACCACTAACCATTGTATTTCAACTGGGCCCACAAGTACAACTCTGGAGTTGGCCATCATACCCGATGGAAGGATATGCTCCAAGCTTTATGCAATGCCCTGCGCCACAGCTTTGACAGTAAAAGGAAGCTGTCTGGCATACCGAGTGTTCATCCTCACTCGTGCTTTACTAGCATAATTGATTATATGAACACACTGCTACGGAAGAGCAGACATTGCTCTCCAGGCATGATTGAGTCTCCCTCACTCCCCCTCCAGATCATAGAGTCATATAGCATGGAAACAGATGCTTCAGTCCAACCAGGCCATAATCCCAAACTAAACTAGTCCAACCTGCCTGCACTTAGCCCATATCCCGCCAAACATTTCTTACTCTGCCACATTTGTTTGAGTAAAAACTTGGAGACTTCAGTCCATGACCTCCCACCTCCTGAGCATCTGGCAGCCTTTATTCCATCATCTCCAATATTTCTCTGATCAATTTATGAAAGGGTATGAAGACTTTGTTTTTTAAGAAATACATCACTTCTTGCACACCTCAGTGAAATTTCCTCCTGGATTGCTCCCAGCAGGGTCCAGAAATAAATTCTTTCCTGGGGACGTTTTTTTTTTAAACCTGAATAATTTGATTGCAGAGGTTTTAGATTTAGATTTAGATTTATACTTTATTGTTCTGAGCATTCAAGTGCAAAAATACAGGAGTACAGTGAAATATATATAATGTCGTCACACAGGATGCCATCTTAAGTACCAAGGTACCCAGGTACAAAAAGCTTAGGTAAAAAGTGGAAAGAGAAGTAGAATTAAAAAGTCAAGCATTACTTTACAGAATAAGTAGAAAAATAAAGAAATAAGGCAATAGTCAACATTGAAGTCTTTCTTAATTACAGTAGCTACTGAGATACTGTAACAATCTGAATGAGGTGGTAAACATAGACGAAAGTCCACAAGTACAATGAGAGTCCAGTCCTTGTTCTGATAGATGTAGCAGTTCACTCAGCATCCAATATTAAGCCAGTTGTAAATCATCTCTTTGTTCATTGTCATCCCTTGTCTATTGTGCAGGTGTCAATGAGTCTGATTGTCCCCGTCTGATTGTCCCATCGAGGGTGAGATCTGCACCATGAACACATCACACTGGACCCTGGCATTTATATGTCTCATCCAGGGTGAGCATCCAATTCCACTCAAAATTATATCAAAAGATTAATTTGTATTTCCTTTTGTTTTCCAGTCTTTTTCCTCCCTGTCTTCTGATGAACGTTTTAACAACATGATAACTTACTGACGTGATGTAACTTATGGGTGGCATCGTAGCTCAGTGGTTAGCTCTGCTGCCTCACAACACTAGGGACTCAGGTTCAATTCCAACCCTTGGGCAACTGTCTGTGTGAAGTTTGCACATTCTCCCTGTGCCTGCATGGGTTTGCTCCAGTTTCCTCCCACTGTGCAAAGATGAGCAAGCTAGCTGGATTGGCTATGCTTATGATGTGCAGGTTAGACAGATTGGCCGTAGGATATGCAGAGTCCCAGGGATAGGGTAGGAGGTAGGTCAGGGTGGAATGCTGTTCAGAGGGTTGGTGTGGACTTGATGGGCCAATTGGCCTGATTCCACACAGTAGGGATTGAATAATCCAGTCTATCCCAAATAAGAATATATTTAAATTGTTCTGGCTCATTTATTAATGTAATAGCCTCTTTGAACCTCTTCTTTTGAAAGACATAACAGGCTATTTTTTGAACTTTTCCTTTCAATGTTTCTTTTTTTTGTCTCTCTTTCTTTATCTCATTCTTTTTCCCTCCATTTACTTCTCCATCTAAATCTGAGTTGACACATTTCATCTGTGTTTTCCAATTCAATCTCAATGCACAAAGCCAACTGGGCTGACAGTCTACTGGTCCCATCACATTTTTTTTTTCTCTAGAGTGAGCAAGAATCATTTTGTAGGAGTAAATTACTGCAGAGGCTGGAATCTGACCTGAAAACAAAAAATGCTGGAGATCACAGCAGGTCAGGCAGCATCCATGGAGAGAGAGCAAGCTAGCGTTTCAAGTTTAGATGACTCTTCATCAGAGCTGACGTGAAGTGTGGAGAGAGCAGGATTTATGCAATAGTTGGGGGGAGAGTGAGTTGGAGTGCTAGGGGAGAAAGGATGTTGATAGTTCAGATTAAGTGATCGGAAAGTGAGAATAGCAGAACAATGGTGTGTCTAACTGTCAAAGTGGAAAGGAATACACAGTCCCACTGGAGTCGGGGGGAACAGGGGAGAGACAGTGACAGAGAATGTAACAAGTAAAAACTGAAAGAAAGAGAAGGAATGGATTCACAGTTTGAAGGCGTTGAACTCAATATTGAGACCAGAAAGTCGTAAATTTTGTGTCTTCTTGTCAGCAGATCACACTTATTTAAGAGAATGTAGTTCACAGCGTTCAATAATAAAACTGCCTGGAAATTATCACAAGATTCTGATTTAACTTTGCATTTCATGTCCTGTTATTGGTTGAGACTTCCAGAACTTTTGAGGACAAAAGTCTTTGAGCTGTAAGTGTGCAGGAAATGTTTAACTGATGACACAAGTTTCAAATATTGCACCATCATAGTTTTGACTGTAACATTTTGTGGATGACACCAAAGAGTTGACAGGCTAATTGACAAGTGGAGTTGAATGTGGGAATTCTAAGATCAGCGCTTTGTATCTGAGGAAACAAAATAGGGCATTTAAATGATGAGAGTTCGTGAAGTTTGGAGGAGCAAAGGGATTTCGGCACATGTCTACAAACGCAGTGCACAGGAATGTCAATAAGGTGGATGCAAATTTAACAAAATGAGATGGCAATTAGGGCAGTGGTATGCTCCTCTTGCTAGATGTGGGAGATCAGAGAACACTCTAGTGTATCTGACGACTATGTCTGCGGGAAGTGTGACCGGCGCAGCTCCTCACAGATGCGTCATTTGGTTGGAGTGGCGGTCAGACACACTGAGGAGCATACCGGGAGGAGTGGGGTTCAGAGAGTGCAATAGATACTTGTTACAGGAAGGTGGTCACACTGCAGGTTCAGATGGATGACCGTCAGGAGAAGCAGGCAGGTAGTGCAGGAGTCTCTAATGGCTACTCCTCTCTCTAACAGCTATACAGTTTTGGATACTGTTGTGGGGAGGAAGGATAGCCTCTCAGGGGAGCAGAACAGCAGCAGCCAGGCCTGCGACACCACAATTGGCTCTGCAGTAGAGCAAGGGTGAGCAAAGTTCCTGTGAGCACTAATGGCAGGGGACTTACTAGTCTGGGACACAGAAAGGCATTTCTGAGGCCACATTCGAAACTCCAGGATGGTGTATTGCCTCCTTGGTGCTAGGGTCGAGAACACCTCTGAGCAGTTGCATAAAGCAAGGAGAGATGATGACCTAGTGGTATTATCGCTGGACTATTAATCCAGAGGCCCAGATAATGTTCTGAGGACCCAGGTTCAAATCCTGCCTTGGCAGATGGTGGAATTTGAATTCAATAAAAATATCTGGAATTGGGAATCTAATGATGACCATGAATCCATTGCCAATTGTTGGTAAAACCAATCTGGTTCACTAATGCCCTTTAGGGAAGGAAACTGCCATCCTTACCTGGTCTGGCCTACGTGTGACTCCAGACCCACAGCAATGTGGTTGACTCTTAACTGCCCTCTGAAACAATTAGGGATGTGCAATAATCACTGCCTAGCCAGCGATGCCTTCATCCCGTGAATGAATTAATAATAAAAAGCCCCCTTAAGGGGGGAGGGTGAGCAGCCAGAGGACATTGTCCATATTGGTATGAACAACATAGGTAGGAAAAGGGATGAGGCCCTGAAGAGTGAGTAGAGGGAGTTAGTCAGAAGGGTGTCAAGGGTAGTAATTTCTGAACTACTTACAGTGCATGGCCTGAGAGCTGGTGCACGTGGCAGGGATTCAGACTCTTGGATCATTGAGATCTCTTCTGGGATAGAGGTAACCTGTACAAGAGGGATGGGTTGCACCTGAACTGGAGGGGGACCAATATCCTGGGCAGGGAGATTTGCTAGAGCCATTCAGGAGGGTTTAAACTAGTCTGGCAGTGGGGAGACAAAAGAGGAAGTTGAGGACTGTACAGAAGTTAATGAGAGCAAGTTAAATAGTAAAGGCAGTGTTGGTAACCTTAGTACTAGACAGGGCAGGCAAGAGCACGACAGGAAACAACAGAAATCTGGGTTAAACGGCAGTTATTTCAATGCAAATGGTATGACAGGGAAGGCAAATGAACACAGGACATGGACAGGAACATGGGACTGGGTTATATCGCTGAGGGAGAGATAGGACAGGCAGATTAATGTTTCAGGGTACAGGTGCTTTAGGAAGGATAGAAGGGGAGGCAGGAGAGGAGGGGAACTTGAATTTTTGATAAGGGGGAGCATCATGGCAGTACTGAGAGAGGACATCCTTGACAGTTTGTCCACTGAGTCTGTATGGGTAGAACTGAGAAATAAAAAAGTGGAGATGTCTTTGATAGCATTATGCTATAAGTGCCCCAATAGTCAGCGGAAGGTTGAGGAGCAAGTAGGTAGGGAGATTGCAGATAGCTGCTAGAATAATAGAGTTGTAATAGCAGGGGATTTTAACTTCCCTAATATCGACTGGGACTGCCATAATGTTAAGGGCTTAGGTGGAATGCCATCTGTTAAATGTGTTCAGGAAGAATTTCTCGTACAGTATATAAATGGCCCTGTTAGAGAAGGGGCATAACCTGGCCTCCTCTTGAGAAGGTAAGGCAGAGAAAGTGACGGAAGTGTTAGTGTGGGAGCACTTTGGGACCAGTGACCATAATTTCATTAGTTTTAATTTTTGCTATGGAAAAGGATAGGTCTGGTCCACTAGTTAAATACCAAATTGGGGCAAGGCCATTTTTGATGGTCTTAGACAGGAACTGTCATAAGTTGATTGGGGGAGGCTGTTAGCAGGCAAAAGGAAGTCTGGTAAATGGGAAACTTTCAAAAGTGAGATAATGAGGATTCATGGCCCACATATTCCTGTTGGAGTGAAGGGAAAGGCTGGTGGGAGTGGAGAACCCTGGATGACAAGAGTTATTGAGGCCTTGGTCAAGAAAAAGAAGGAGGCATGTGACATGTGTAGGCAGCTGGGATCAAGTGAATTCCTTGAGGAGTGTAGAGGGTGTCAGAGTGCACTTAGAGAGAAATGAGGAGGGCTAAAAGGGGACACGAGATGGCTTTGGCAGATAAGGTAAAAGAAAATCCAAAGGGATTCTACAAGTACATGGAGGTCAAAAGAGTAACTAGAGAGAGAAGACGGCCTCTTAAAGATTAACAAGGTTCATATGTGGAGCCACAAGAAATGGGTGAGATCCTAAATGAATATTTCTCATCAGTATCTACCTTGGAGAAAGGCATGGATGCTAGGGAACTTGGATAAATAATTAGTGATGTCTTGAAGGGAGTCCACATTACAGAAGAGGAAATGTTGGAAGTCTTAAAAATGTATTAAGGTAGATAAATCCCCTAGACCTGATGAAGTACATCCCAGGACTTTGTGAGAGGCTAGGGAGGAAACTGTGCAGCCCCTAGCCGAGATATTTGTATCATCGACAGCCACGGGTAAAGTACTCAAAGGTTAGAGGGTGGCTAATGTTGTGTCATTATTTAAGAAAGGCTACAGGGAAATGCTTGGGAACTACAGACTGGTAAGCCTAATGTCTGTGGCAGGTAAGTTGTTAGAAGGAATTCTGAGAGATAGGAATTTGGAGAAGAAAGATCTCATTTGGGACAGTCAGCATGTGTTGTGTCTACATGGACTTTAGCAAGGCCTATGACAAGGTACATCATACTTGGTTGTTCAGTAAGGTTAAATCTCATGGGACCCAGGGAGAGCTGGCCAATTGGATATAAAATTGGTTTGAAGGTAGAAGACAAAGTATGGTGGTAGAGGGTTGATTTTCAAACTGAAGGCCTATGACCAGGGGTGTGCTACAGAGATCAATGCTGGGTCCACTGTTATTCGTCATTTATATAAATGATTTGGATGAGAATTTAGGAAGCATGGTTAGTAAGTTTGTGGATGACACCAATGTTAGTGGTATAGTGGACAGTGAAGAATATTATCTGGGAATACAGTAAGATCTTAATGAACTGGGCTAGTGGACTGAGGAAT